TATGTGTTATAAGTTTGTTTAATCAACAAATCAATTTGCATTATATATATGTTTTAATTTTGTTTAATCACAAAATCAATTTGCATTTGGGGTTTGAGGTTTATGTGTAGAAGAGGTTAGGAGTTTGGTTGTAGAAGAGGTTATAAGTTAAGGAAGTTGTGGTTTGGGGTTTGGGGTTTCGAGTTTAGGGATTTATAAATCCTTTCCTCGTAAAGCCCTAGTAATAGAAAACACGGGAATTAGTGTTTTCAATTTTTTTTAGTTACTTTTTTAAATTATACGGGAATTAATGTTTTCAATTTTTTTTTTTTAAATATAGATGCCTAGACAGAGCAAGATTGCTAAGGCTGCTGCTAAGAGGGCGTCGACTCTCGAGGGGATAAGTTACAGAGATATGTTTGGGCGTCAGGATGGTCCGGGTTCATCCTCGTCAGCTCCCGGTGGTTCATCTTCGGCAGTTCCCGAGACTCAGCAGCCACCTCCTCCTCCTCCTCCTCCACCTCCTCCTCCTCCTCCTCCTCCTCCTCCACCGGTCGGGGTTCATCCCGATTTGCTGGTGCCGCCGAACGCACCCTTTGCGGTGTACACGGTGGAGGATATTTTGGCCCTTCCAGGCAGAGAAGGGCTGGCAGAGTTAGATCCTTACCGATGGAACGGCCAAAACATTTTATGGTATGTTTTAATTTTTAAATTTTTTATTTATTTATTTCTTAATTAACAAAATATTTCTTAATTAACAAAATATTTGTGTCTTTCCAGGTTTGGTTGTGACAATAGTGTCGGATCTAGCGTCACAGACTGTATCAAGGGATACTTTCCCGATCCAGCTCCGAACTGGAAGATGACGGCGAGCCACACAAAAAAGACGTGGTTCAAATCGTTCGCTGTAAGTTTAGTTTGTTTATTTATTTTTAATTATTTTAAATTATTAATATAATTGAACTAATCCGTCTTTTATTTTTTCTGCTTACAGCAAAAGTATCGCTGGTCTATTGGGATTCACCAGCAAGTGAAGAAGGAGTTTGAGGCCAAGGCAAAAGCACGATTGCTCGACACGGTCTACAACTGGAAGGGCGACTATGAGGTATTGATTTATAAATTATAATATATATATAATTTTAAAAATATTATATATTGACTTTAATTCTAATTTTTTTTTTTTAAATCAGGTGGATGGTTACGAGGCCGGGAAACCCGATTGCCTCACAACCACGGTGTGGGATGGCCTCATCAGCTATTGGACGTTGCCGGACTCGGTCAGAACCTCCAACACAAACTCCGGGAACCGCATGACCAAGGACGAGCATGGCAACACGAAGGTGCTTCACACCACGGGTCGAAAACCTCACGGGGGAGTTCGTCTTGACATGGTAAGATGATTTTTAATATCAATTAATTTAATTTTTATTTTATTTGAATATATTCTAAATTAATATTTAATTTTATAAATTAATTTTAGGCTAAGGAGACAGGAGTTCTTCCATCTCTGAAAAACCTGTACGAGAGGACCCACCGGAACAAGGCTGGGCAGTTTGTAGATCCTGCTTCGGAGCGGATCTACAACGAGCTTGTTGCCCGAGTTGACGAGCGCCAGACCCAGCTGACTCAGCAGACTGGGTCTCCAGTCATATTATCCACTGTTGACGTGGATAAGATATACGAGGAGGTAAATAATTTGATTTACTATTAATTTTTAATATTTTTTAAATTTTTCTTAATGTTATTAATATTTTTATTTTCACGTCGCCCCTAGGAAAAAGGGGCGTATCATCGGGATTGGCTCGGTTAACGATGTCCATGCAGCGACATCGTCTTATCATCAGGAGCAGCACGATGTCAATGATCAGCTGCGCTCGGAGTTGCAGGTGACGCAGTCTCAAGTGACTTCGCTCACCGAGATTGTCACTTCTCTCACCGATATCCTCGACATTATGGCGGTTGGAAACCCGCAAGTGCAGGAGCTGTTGCGTCAGAGACGGGAACGTGCAGGGATTCCAAGTACCCAACATCCTCCGCCATCACAGTCACAGCCGGCAACCAACTATGGAGAGGATTCGCCGAGCCAGGACGACGTTTTGTTCAGTCAGCAATTTCACGACCACCATCCGTAGTTTCTTTTATTTTTATTTGTATATTATGAATTTAAAAACTTATTGTATATTATCTAGTTATTTATAAAATATTTTGTTTTTTATTTTTATTTATAATTTGATTTTTTTTATTTTTAAAAAATAAATTAATTATTTGTAATTATTTTTTTAATAGGAAAAAAACATTTCCAAGCAAAATCCTCGTAAAATATTCCAAGTAATATCCTCGTAAACAGTTCTAGTAATTTCCTCGTAATGTATCACTACGACCTTACGAGGAAATGTTTACTACGAGCTTACGAGGAAAGCTTACGATCGAGGACCTTACGAGGAAAATATTACCACGCCTTTACGAGGAAAGCTTACCTCGTAAATTCGCTACGACCTTATGAGGAAAATGGCTTTACGATGAACGTGTTTCGAGGAACGCGTTTCCTCGTAAGTTCCTAGTAAAAGGCCATTTACTAGGAACTAACGAGGAAAACCCGTCCTAGTAATGGACGAGTTTTCTTGTAGTGAAACCCTAAACTAAATTGACTAAATTGACTAACCAACCACGTTATAAAATCAAATTATACTTAAATAGTGTTTACTATACAAAGAAATAAACACACTTCAGTAAATTTTAAATTTTTCAAAAAAGCATTTATGCATTCGAAAATGTAACCCTAAGAAACACATACAATACTACAACATATGTTGGCAAAACCTAAACCAAAGAATATCATGACTCACTACTTTCACTTATCTATGTTGAAATTTAATAGTCTTTTAGGTTACTTTTGCATTTGATTCATGTTTGTGTTTACTTTTGTATTTGACACCAGGTTCTCAGTCCAAATTTGGCAAATTTCCCTATTTTATTTCCTTAAATAAAACCTTTGGAATTATCTTATGTGATTAAGATATATATGGATTAATGATTTTAAATAATAAATATTTGTTAACAATATGTTTACTTTATATTGTTTTTTTTGTTTAATCTTTTATTATTAAATAAATTGCCCAACTACACTAATCATATAATAAAAATTTATATTTTTTATATATGTTGTATTTTGAAATTTTCAAAACGAGTATAAATTACTAAAACTGTTAAAAATCTCACATAAATTTTTGTTATCAAGGTCTAAACTTTTTTCTATGATAAATTACAAGAATTATAAAATCATGTGAATAAACAATTTTATTTTAATAGGTATTTCTGCTAATATATATATATATATATATATATATATATCTCATATCGTATGAATAAATAATTTTATTTTAATCATAATTATAATTTAAACCTTAACTTAATTTTTTCTAAAAATATTTTTTTATTTAAAAATATTTTTAAAAAATATAATTTTCTGATATTATTAGATAAATAAATAATTTATATTAAATTAGTTTTGAAACTTTATACATTCTAAAAGCAAATATACTACCAACTGCTTCTTAATAAAGCATTAAAAAACTTGATAATTTTCTACCAATTAAGTCATGTGACACTTCGTTTATCTTTCATTACTCGAACAATGGAAAGTGAAAAAATATATGAACCGGATCTATTAACTTACTAAGCTTTGATCTATAGTTCTAATTACAATTGTTTCTGATATTATATATACATACGTATATAAAAATTCGAAAATTCCAAATACAATAAAATAATCAAATGTAAATTTTAGATTTTTTTTGGGACAATTGCAATCTTACACATTCTTTAGTACACTAATTAGTTCACTAATTCATGTTTACCTTGAAAGGGAGGACATTTTCATAAATACCAATATTACTAAACTGTTAATGACCTTATTGTCCTTGAGTTATGTGAGATCTGATTTTCGTCAACAAGAAAAGTGAAAAGATATCGTTAACGACGAAATCAGATTCTCTCCAAAGACGGTGACTCCGGCGACGTGTTCAATCAACGACGGAACATCTTGACGGAGAATAATATCAGCTCCTCAATCCAATTCCCCCCTCGATCGTCTTTCTTCTCGATTCTCATCCTCGCGTGTCACTGATTCATTATCATCCTCGCGTTTCACTGATTCATTCTCATCCTCGCGTTTCACTGATTCGAGATTCGCCGATTTGATTTGATCCACCATCGTTTTTTTTTTTAAATCAGTTTGGGTTTCTGATTCTCCTATGCGTTTTAACATCTGCAACTATTGCTTAATCCTTGAATCTGACAGCAACAATTGAGTCTGAGATTGTTTCGGTTTTGAGCAAATTCTTTGCCTGAGAGAGGAAAAGACAGTTGTTGGTACAAAAGGTAATTCGATTTTTTTTCCTAAGTTTAAGTTTGCTTATATCTTTGTTTGAGTTCAATCTATATGATCTTATCAGTGTAGAAATTGAGAAGCTGTTATATTGAGTGGAAATGGTGGGGCCAAATATGTTGTTTCATCGGAGGAAGCATTCATGGCCTCCTGAGGAATTCATTACCAAAACTACTTTGCAATTAGTATGTCCACTTTCTCTTTTTTTTTTTTGGTTAAATCCTTTGGACTTTGAATATTATCTGTTTTCTGTAGCTTGATTTCGATAGTGCTGCTCCGCCGCCACACGCATGGAGGAGGTTGAACTCCCATGCTAATAAAATGAAAGAATTCACTATCACCTTTCGTGAAGCCATTAAAATGGTATGCTTTTCTTTATATGCCAAAAATGTGATTTATTGTAGAGTTTTCCCAAATGTTACTTTTATTTTTATTTGGAATTACAGGTACGGTTGGGGATACGTTTATGGTCTTATGTCAGAGAAGAAGCTTCCCATGGAAGGGTATCTCCTATCTCACTGCTCCATACTACCTTCTTCTTCTTTTTTGTGGGAATGTTATTTTATAGAATTGTTGTTCATCTTATATGCAACAGAAAGCACCTATTGATCCTTTCACCAAAGAGAATTGTAAACCATCTGCATCCCAAGGTGTTCCCCTCGGAGGAATGGGGGTACCATAGCATCTACTCTCTATTTATTATTTATTTTTATCATCCATAGCTTTAGGTTTTGATCAGTGCTGCTACTGGAAATTGCAGAAGTTGAAGCATATCTAGGGGCTTCAGGGGTGAGTTAAGCAGTGGCAAATTACTCCTGGAACATGCGATCCATCACCTATGATGTCTAATCAGTTTTCTGTAAGTCTTTCTAATGTTTTTTGAAATCTGGTGAATTAAAAGCGGTGCGTTAAATAACTCAGTTTCTGTTGTTCTTTCTTGCATTTTTGCCTCCTATGTCAGTTGTTTCTTATGATTTGATGAGTTTGTTTTTTAAGAACTGCGCATGAGTTACAAGTTTGTTGCTTCTGCAGGTGCTTGTACGTGACATCTGGGTCTTTGAGAAGTCTCTATTCCACACAGGAGCTTGCTGGCGTCTCTGTGGCTATATTGAATTTCCTTCAAAGGATATAATCCAACCTGCCCTCTGAATCACACTTGTAATCAGCTTTAAGTACATAGTGTTGGCCTGATTCATCCAGGATACAATCAGCTGCAGACGCATAGTTAACTCCTCCGAGAATTCTATTGCCCCATGTGGTTGGGTCTGCAAAGGGAGGAGGCGACGAGATTCCTAACAACTGAGCTGTTTATTTCAGAACAGTTTCAGTGTGTGTTTGTACGTACCATGACTTACATTATATATATGGTATAACTTATGTTAAGTTTATAAACCATTATAAAATCATTATAAACCATTATAAAATGACGGATACAAGATTTTAAGTGAAGATGAATCATAAATCTGTTTTATAAAGGCATATAAAGACTCATATTGAACTATTAACCAATGATTTTAGATTTAGAAAATGTGGAATTTGAACAATTTATAAGAGTTTATAAACTTATAACCCCTTATAAAATAAGGGATAAAAGATTTTGAATGAAATGAATCATAAATCTGTATTATTAAGGCATGTAAACACTCATACACAAATTATTTATACAATACTACTCTTATTATCTAATAAACAATGATTTAAGATTTTGAAAATGTCGTATTGAACCATTTATAAGAGTTTATAAACTTATAAACCCTTATAAAATGGTGGTAGAGATTGATATGGCAACATATTTAGGTTTCACTAATTTCTTGCACATTTGTATACATACATTCTTGAAATGGACAGACGAATAAAGTTCACACTCACGTTTTTTTCAAGTTTCTACTCTACAATCGCTTGCTTTGTTGTATCACTTTCTCTCTGCTTCTGACAGTTTATATAATAGTTTAATAAGGGTTTATAAAAAAATTATATGGATTTACAAAACTATTTAAAAAATCAAATGCATCAAAAATATATGTGTAATTTCTAAATCATTTATAAATATTTATAAATGATTTTCAAAGGTTTACAAATCCTTTATAAAAGTTTATTTATCATTTATAAGATTTAGTAAATTGATTATAAAGGTTTATATACCATTTTTAGAATTTTTATAAACCATTAATAAGATTTTATAAATCATTTAAGGGTTATTAAATCATTTATAAGGGTTAATAAAATAATTTGTATGGATTAAAAATCATATTAAAACATTACTCATAATTCTCCTTTATTTATAAGAGTTTATAAATTAATTTATAAGAGTTTACAAAAAACATATAAGGGTTTATAAATAAATTCATAAGAGTTTCTAAATCATTTTGTAAGAGTTTATAAAATCATTTTAAGAGTTGTAAGAGTTTATACAAAAATATAAGGGCGTACAAAACCATTCAATTACTTAAACAGAAATTTTAAAAGCATCATGGATATATGTTTAATAGTAAGAATTTAAAAATAATTAATAAGGATTTATAAATAATTTATAAGGGTTTATAAAACACTTGCAAGAGTTAATATATTATATATAAAAACTTATATATCATTTATAAAGGCTTATAAGAGTTCATGAACTGATTTTCTGATTTAGCATATACACAATTTGTATTCTTCTAGTGTCTATCACAACTAAAGGGTGAATGTTGTCTGATTAGGTTCAGAGAATTTTATAAACAATTTATAAAGACTTATAATTTTTTTTGTAAAGTCTATAAACAATTTATAAATGTTTATGGAAACGTTAAAATTAATAAACAATTTATAAGGTTTATATAGGTTTACGAATCAATTAGAACGTCCTAATCATTCATAAGAATCTATAACCATTTAGAAAGGCTTATAAAACAATTTATAAGAGTTTGTAAAATAATTTATAAGGGTTTACAAAAATATGTAAATAATCAATAAGAGTTAATAAGAGTTTATAGATCTTTTGTAAAGTTTATAAAAAAACAGTGATCAATTACTGATCATAACTCTCCTATATTTATAAGAGTTAATAAATCAATTCATATGAGTTTATACAAAACTTTATAAGGGTTTATAAAAAAAATTGCAGAGAAAATAAATCTTAAATTCTAATTACAATATAAATGTAATTCACTCTGGCAAAAAGTATATAGTTGGACTGGCAACTATCAATCTTCTCCTTCGAAACCGTGAGTCCTTGGCTATTTATCTGCCGAAGTTTCACATTCACCTCTTTTGCTCTCGCTGCAACTGGAGTTCTCATTGTCAAGAAGCTATTATTATTCATCCTATATAAGTTCTGCGTCTGCATCGTTTGAAAGAACCAAAACAAGAAAACACAAAAGCAGGGGATCATGAAACCAACCAACTAACCAAAATGAAAAACGTAACGTAAAGTTTTTGTGTTGTTTGTTATTCACGCGAGGCTTTCAAGACTTACTCCTGATTAGCAAAACTGAGCATAGTTTCTCTCCAAGAGCTGAGTTTTAATATATTTTAACTAATTAAAAACTCTTATAAATAATTTATAAGCCTTTATAAAATTTTATAGCTAATTTATAAATCTTTATAAAGTAAGTTATAAACCCTTAATTTATTTATGAATCCTGAGAAATGATTTATAAACATTTAAAAATAATTTTATGGTTTCTTTTGAATTTAAATTACCCAAATCCCTCGCTTATGTGCAATTACCAGCTATTTTGTACTTGAAATCAAACCTTTCAAGTAAATGGATGCTCGTTATTATATCTATGATAATCAAAATGATTTGTTCATAATCTAAAAATATATTAGATTACGTACCAAAAAACTCTTAATAAAAAAGCATATGAATACAATAACTACTAAATATTCCAAGGCCATATGTTCCAGTGCATAACCGGCACTATGAATCGGTCAAAACATTGAGTTTGACAGCTACAGAAGACACATTGTTCAACTAGGACTAAACCATATAATATAAGAAAATTTGTAAAGTTTATAAGGGTTTATAAATGTATAATAGCTTATAAAGTGTTAAAGTTTCTTAAATTATAAGTGGTTATAATACTATTTATAAGGGTTTATAAATTATTCATTAGAGTTAATAAAACATGTATAAGAGTTAATAAATCAGAGGAGTTTGCTTATTCATCATCAATGATCAAATTTCTTCTCACTGATTCTGTCATATTTCTGCTTTTTTGTCCCAGCTTTTAATCCCTGCCATGGTAATCTGATACCAAAACAAAAAGAGTTACAATTTTGTACAAGATAATATATAAAGAAAGTAAAGAAAAGTGAGCGATAACTGTTACCTTCCTTTGAGAAAATACATAAACACATAAGTCATAACCAAGTGATTCCAAATCATCCCTTCGACTTTGTTCTGTTCAAACACCAGCAAATATACTTGAGTTTCGGAAAAAAATATACACAAATTTTACAGCAATCTTACCGACTCCAAGGTGAGTATTGACACTCGCATACCGAGCTGTCCCTGTGATATTTTTGTTTTCTCTGTGACAAAAATTGATATTTCCTTTTGACTGAACAGAAATCAAGATGCAAAAAATAAGAAGCGGATCCTTGACTGAGGAAAGAGGAAACGAGAGATCAAGGTATAGTCTTGACCTGTAAGGAATGTGCTTGTGAGTGTGAATGTCTCTGTATTTCTTCCCTAATCCAAAATCAATGATATACACCTGAAATAAAATAAAAGTTATCTCTTAAGGTTGAAGCGGAAACCCCCATCAAATTTAAATTTTAGCAAAAGATAGATATTAGCACCTGATTTGCTTTGCGTCCAAGGCCCATTAAAAAGTTGTCAGGCTTTATATCACGGTGAAGGAAACCTCGAGTATGCATATACTCGACCCTGTTAAGCTGGAACGCAAAACAGAGACAACAGTACTCCTCCATTACAAACGAACTCATAAGTTCAGAGCACAGTAAGAGCTGGAAACCATTTAGTAAAGACATATATACTCACTAATTGGTCCGCAAGCATGAGAACAGTTTTCAAGGTAAACTTCCTGTTGCAGTAGTTAAACAAATCTTCAAGGCTAGGACCTAGAAGGTCAATAACCATTACGCTGTATTCACCTTCAACTCCAAACCACTTGAGGATCGGAATACCAGCTTCAGAGGGAACGAAACAAAAACATATTTTAGTTTTTGTACAAAAATAATAATGCAACCAGCATATGTAAAGTACATAAATGTGTAGTGAAATATCTACTTGATCCTATCATCACAAATTGAAAAACTCCAAACATGAAATGATTCAAAAGTATGAAGTGAGACTTACTTCCTCCTTGAAGCAGCATATACAACTTTGATTCATAATGAAGTTGGGGATGCTTGGTCTTCACAGATTCCTGAAGTGTCAAAAAAGCAGACGGATAAATAAAAAAAATAGAGAAAAAAAAATTAAATGGCCAAGTGAAACAAAACAAGAAAGCAACTTCTCATTATCTTCATGTGAAGAGAAAATTTTACATAACAGCATCACATGAAAACAATCTCTTTAGAATTAAAGATTCAAAAATTTACCAGCTTGACAGCAACTTCTTCTCCTGTTTGGACATTTATACCTGCAAAAATAAATAAATAAATAAACAACTAAAACTCATAAAGAAGAAGAAGAAAAGAAAATCAAAGAGCACTAGAAACAGTCAATGCCACTGTTTCAAACTAGCATCAAAGAGCATAGTGATCAACACTCTTAACATACCTGCAGCATAAGAATACTCAACACACCGCACTGACTTTTCCCAAAACATCCTCTTTGCCAACATTGAAAACAATCCTGAAAACATAACCAAAGAGAGAAAAGCTTTCTTTAAGTTTCTTCGAAAAAGTTGAGATTTTGACGCAACAACCCAAATCCACAGTGGTTTCAAATACCGTATGACTTTGTTGTCGCTGCCAACACTGAAACCAGAGGAATCATCGTGTAAGTAGCAATCGAGTAATGCGCCGCCATGTAAGAACTCTCCTTTCAACGAATTGGTGCTGACATCATACAATTTCACACGCTTACAGAAGAATAAGGTGCGATTCAGATAAAAGAATAAGATGCAATTCACAAGTGAAGTTAGAGGGGTTCTTAGTTTCTGACCTTATCCCAAGAAGAAACAAGGAGATTGTCACTTGTGTTGGAGAATCTGAGATTCGAAATGCTGTCGGAGGGTGGTTAGTGAGCACACGACCGGCGGAAGGAGGAGGCAGACTCATATTTCCTCCCGTTGAAGATCACAAATGCTAGGGTTTCGTGAGAGTTGGAGAAAGATAGGGGTATAATAGTATTTTATATATTAAAATTTTAAAGGTAAAGTTGAGTAAGGTAAAAATGAGATAGGGTACAAGAAAAATGGTAGATTAGGCAATTTCCCATTTTTAATACTAAATTTTAGGTCTTATTCTAATATATAAATTATAATTTGTCCGGTTATAGATGCAAATATCTTAAAAATCGTTCACCGTTGAAAAGGCGTCGCTCTCGCTTGCGTATCCCTCTCTTCTCGTTCCCATGTCTCCCTCCCTTCCTTTGGTTCATGGTTAAATTTAAGTTTCCAACATAGCATATCAAATCTGAAAAAACGTCAAAAAAAAAAAAATACAATATCAAGAAAGAAAAAGTCAATTTTAATTCAATTTCAAACAAAGATTATAATTTTCCTTTTTTTATATAATAAGATTGAAATTTAAAATCGGGGCTACGGATATTATATCTAGTTTACACTAACGGCGAGGGTGATGGATCTGAGTTTAACTCTATGCATACTCGCGGCAGTTTCCATGGCCGTGATCCAATTTGCTTCCGGTAATTTCTTGTTTAATGTGACGCATAAGTTCTCAGGAAAAGATAAACAGTTATGGGAGCTCAAATCTCACGACAGCTTGCGTCACGCTAGAATGCTTACCAACCTTGATCTACCTCTCGGCGGGGATAGCCGCGCTGATTCAATCGGGTTCTCTTCTACAAATCCAAAATCGTTATCTCTAAGATAGAATGTGATATGACTTACATTTTATTGTTTTGTTTGTGTATTATTTCAGCTTGTACTTCACGAAGATCAAGCTTGGATCACCGCCAAAGGACTACCATGTTCAAGTTGATACAGGAAGTGATATACTTTGGATCAACTGTGCACCTTGTCCTAAATGTCCTGTCAAAACTGATCTCAGTGTATGCTTGCTACTTTAAAAAACCTCTGTTTAATCATTTTATAAACTGAATGATTGTATGTTTGATGCGTAGATACCTCTGTCGCTGTACGACTCAAAAGCTTCCTCAACGTCCAAGAAAGTTGGGTGCGAAGATGATTTCTGTTCCTTTATCTCGCAATCAGACACTTGCGAACCGATGAAGAAGCCATGTAGTTATCATGTTGTGTATGGAGATGGGAGTGCAAGTGATGGAGATTTCGTCAAAGATAACATTACCCTGGATCAAGTCACTGGAAACCTCCGAACTGCACCCCTTGCCCAGGAAATCGTGTTCGGGTGTGGAAGCAATCAATCTGGACAACTTGGGAAAACTGACTCTGCAGTTGATGGCATTATGGGATTTGGTCAAGGTAATACCTCTATCATTTCGCAACTCGCTGCCGCCGGGAATGGGAAGAGAATCTTTTCACATTGTCTAGACAATGTAAATGGAGGTGGAATTTTTGCTGTTGGGGAAGTCGAATCTCCAGTAGTACAAACTACTCCTTTGGTTCCTAATCAGTAAGTAACCATTTGGTTCTGGTCTTACTTCTCTTTGTGTTGCTTATATATATATTGATTACACCTTTTTTAGGGTACATTACAACGTCATTTTAAAGGGGATAGATGTAGGTGGAGAACCTGTTGATCTCCCACCAAGCATAGCTAACTTTGGCGGAAATGGAGGAACCATTATTGACAGTGGTACAACATTAGCTTACTTACCAGAGAATCTGTACAACTCGTTACTTGAGAAGGTGAAACTCTTTTCCACTATATTTTTCTTAACTTTCTAATCACGATCCTGACATGGATGTTTTCAGATTACTGCTCGGCAACAGGTTAAACTGCACATGGTACAGGAGACTTTTGCGTGCTTCAGTTTCACGGAAAAGTAAGATGAATCAACCATTTTTGTTTTTAGACAAGATGTATAAAAAAATACAAATTATTTATCTGGACTATTACATGTTGTAAGATATTCTTCCTACACTGGCAGCATAGATAAAGCATTTCCTGTAGTCAGTCTTCATTTCGAGGACAAACTCAAACTGTCTATTTATCCACACGACTATCTTTTTCCCCTTCGTGTAAGTCAATAGCCAACTTCCTACTTTGAGTTGTTTATACCGACATATAGTTCTTGATCTTGTCCTCATCAACAAATTGAGCTCTCTCTCTCTTTATTTCACCAACAGAAAGATATATATTGCTTTGGTTGGCAATCTGGTGGATTGAGGACTCAAGACGGATCTGATGTTATCCTTTTGGGAGGTAATCATTTTACTTTGCGACCATTTTCTTTTATCTGACTTCAGATTGGTTTTCTACATATGCAGATTTGGTGCTTACAAACAAGTTAGTAGTATACGATCTGGATAATGAGGTCATTGGATGGGCAGAACACAACTGTAAGTATCTGGAACCTGAGAACTAAAACTAGATTACCATCGATAAAAAAAAAACAAATAAGTTTTGTTAGGTTCGTCAAGCATCAAAGTGAAAGATGGATCAGGAGCTGCTTACTCACTCGAAGCAGATAATCTCACAGCTTCTTCTTCTTCTTCTTCTTCTTCTTCGGTGATTAACGGAACACTTGCAACATTGTTGTCGATACTAATTTCGCTTTTCATTTCTTTTACTTCATAGTATTGCTAACAGGAGATGCATCCGTTTTCATTATTTGATTCGGCTTTGCGAGTCATGTAATTTACACAGACAACTACTAACTTACACATTCTTTTTTAACTTTAACTGTTGATATTTTGTATGTAGGAAACCGGAGACACAAGAATTAAAGGCTTCTGAGGAAAATGCGCAAGAATTTTTGCTGTTGAAATTGAGTAATGCGGAAAACCAGAGCGGGTCAATAGTGTCTGATGATTTCGTTGCATTTTACAAATTATCAAAGATAGAGGAACTAGATTTTAATAAAAGAACTAGGAGTGCTTTTGTGCAGTGTGCATAAATAATAATTTTAATTATAATATTAAATTATTATAAAATAAAATTTAAATTTATAAGTTGATTTTTATTTTCACATTTTAGCTTCATTGGTTTCAAAAAAATAACTATGTGTAGTTTTGTTTCTGTGTTGATCTTCTCCCTCAAACTAAAATCTTAAAACCTTTTGCTATGAAAAGAATACAAAAAGCTCTCTCTCTAACACTTTGGCAGAGTATATAAACTTAGGTTAAAACTCACCAGGAGTATAATCGTCATTTGATGATGTTTGAGCTTCAAATTGGCTTGTCTCGCGAATTGGTCTCCGCGTCTTCGGCATCAATCAATCATGCTAGGTGAATGTCGATCGAAGTGAGTCACTCCATGTCGACTGATATTACGTGCAACGCACACCAAATAACCTAATCTGCACACACTACCACAATCGAATGGTATGTCGATGTAGCACTTTAGGATCGAATACATAGAGACCAAATATTACACTTTATTTCTATAGGATCAAATTCAAGCAAAAACGTTTAAGTGTTGCGAAGAGCAAAATCGTGAGAAACAAATAATAAAATTGAGTTTTAAATTCAGGATATAAGGATGTCAACCTAGGATGTCTCATTGGGTGTTAACCATACTGAACCAAACAATTATTCAAGCTCTTTAAGCGCAGCCTAGAATTTAGATTTCTTAATTATAACACCCTGCTCTCGCAGGTGTGCTCCTTTCGTGGGGGGAGCAATGATACCTATGCTCTCGCGTGGATCAACACTCGACAACAAACATTAAGCACAGACCTACTATGCTCACATCACACCCTGATATCTACTTTCGCTGACCAGGGATGTGATGCTTGCTCTCAACAGATCAAGCAACCTAATTCAGGATTAATGATAAAAGATTAAACTTGGAATCAAATACTAAGTGATCAAATCAGTATCAGCAGTAAGAATAGTGGGGGATCAAAGACGAGAATGAGGCTTATCTATGTTCAGTTCAATGGATCAACACCGTAGAACCCTAGGCTAACATATCGACTACTCGATCATAACAGAAGAGAACTTAAAGTCATGACTGAATAATGCATTGGATAAATCAACGTATAAAGAGGATTCATGGATTTCTTCTCTAGAAACCAAGAGGAAGAAGCCTTGGCCCTTACAAAATAGCTAGAACAAATCTTCAACAAAAAAGTCTCAACAAGTTTCTTGTGTAAAATGTAGTCTATGCTCTCTCAGTCTCACAAAGAGTAGAGGCGGCCAGGGTTCTTTTATTAGAAGAACGACGCCTGCTAGGGTAGAGAGGAGTGCTGCGTTTTGTTCTTTCCCGAAATAGATCAGAGGTCACATTAAAGAACATGAGCAAATCGGGGTTTCCTCCGCATGGGTGCTCCACGATGGAAAACTCTGGTTTTTGCATTATTTCTTCCATATGCTCTTTCTGGTGCATTCTAACTCGTTCTCCACCTGAAATAACTCAAAACACACTAAGAAAACTCAAGGAAAGCACAAATATGATATGCAAAGCATGTGTGTAGCATGTCCAAAACACAACATATCAATTCCCCCAGACTTGGATCCTTGTCTGTCCTCAAACAATGTCAAGTTCCAGATCGGTGGGAAATGTTTGAAGGTGTGGGAACTCTCTCATTTCAGCAACCATACTTTAACCACAAATATCTGAACCATATAAGCAGACATACTAGGACGACACACCCTTACCATAACCCCACTGACTGCTGTTCAAATCGGCTCTATACTCTATATCTCAAACCTGCAAAAGTCAAACCTTCCAGACAAAAACTCCTTATATTCATTTAAGATAAGTGTGAGCTTCTTGTCATATGCATTATTCAGGGTAGACGGCTAGGTATGAGAAAGGATTTTTCAGTGTTTAAAATGGAGCTAACAAGTGTTTAGGGTTTACCATGTCTTTGTAGAGGATGCTAGATATCAAACAAAATTGCCAGAGAGGACGGATCCATTGATCTCCACAAACCCTCACTTGTTTTCTCTGCAGAGCAATCGCTCCTTGTTCTTCTTTTCTTTGATAGGTCGCTCTCTTCCTTTCAGATCACCCTTTCTACACACTGTTTCATTTTCCACTTCAGTTCTTTGCTTCTCTGATCGACCAGGGGAAAGGTTTCGGTTCTTCTCCTTCTCATCATCTTTTAGAACTATTGTGACATAAATAATACTGAATTGATTTCTCTTTTTTTTTACTGAATAATGAAATGACGAGTTCAGATGATGATGATGATGAGAAGGAGGTAATTACATATAGTGTGCCCCTGGTGGTGTTATGGTATTTTTTGTGTAGGGTCGTTTTAGTACTACGGAACACAAGAAAGTTCGTACAAAGGTCGAGAAGAACAAGTATGTTTGTGAGATATAAGGAGAAATCAAGAGGAACTCGTATGAGATAAACAGGAAGCAAGTAGAGAAATAGAGATCTTATTGATTATTCGATGGAGGCTACAATATTGTGTAAGAACCCTAGCCGTCTAGATCTAGTCTCTCAATCTCTAAGTGTCGATCCCTTATTCTAAGGTTTGGGTTCCCCTTATATAGATGTAGATGTCGGCTTGCATTGGTTAAACTCTTCCATATTGGCGAATATGAGAGAGTTTCCTTGTATGGAGAACTTCCATTTTTCTCAAGGGTTGGGTTTGGAACAGGGGTCGGCCCGGGGAACCTGAAGGTAGGGTCCGGGCCCTGGGTCCCTTTGGAGCCGGGGTCTAGAGGCCGGTGCCCAGCCCGGGGGCTGGAGGAATCTGGTGCCTGGATATTGTTTCCCTACAGTTTGCCCCTTATTCCTTGATTTTACTGGTGAAATCAAGGGATAAAGTGTGTATAGGCGGACTGAAGTTGCTTTATTTCAACAGATTCCCCTTAGGTAAGACATCGCTTTGAGGCGCCCTATCCTCTAGGTCCTCGTGTAGGTTGGAACCGTGTTTGGAGCCTGGAGTAAGTCAAGCTTCCCTTGGTAAAATGGTGTTCTGTAGGCATCTTCATGGCCGGAGCCTCTTGGGATTTGATGACGCAGGGTCGCGATATTTGGTCTGAGAGATGCTTGTTTCTTTTGGTTTCAGGGCCTCGCTGCTGAAGGCATGAAGGAATGGGTCGTAGATCCGGAGGAGGCGGTGCCTTGGGCCTTCGGGCCGAATTTTTAAAAGGAGAATATGGGCTTTCGGGGTTGGCCCATATTTATTTTGATTTTGGCGCTCATCTTAGCGCGTGGCGGCCACCCCCTTAGGGTTTCCCTTTTTTAACTTCTTTCGCACCTTTCGATCTTCCCATCTCTTTTTTTTTTCTTCCGCCGAATTCCAAGGTGATCTTGCATTTCTGACGTTCGCTTCATTCTTCAAACAGGTAGCGATCTTTTTTCCTTCCTTTTTCATTCTCTATACATGTCTTTGGTGGGAAGTAGAGTTAGGTCTAGGAGAGAGATAGAAGTTCCAAATGTGGCAGAGTTCCCTTCGCCATCGGTTGGTTCGTCGGTAGAGAGCCCTAGGTCAGACTCCGTTGATGTGTGAAAGGGGTCGAGGCTAGTCCTCCTTCAAAGATACGAGAGAAAGAGATTGACGAGTGGAGGAGGAAGTACGATCTCCCAAGGGAAGTGGTTATACGTGCTCTGGGGCCTCTTGAGAGAGTCTCAGATTTCGGAGTTGACGAGATTTCGGTCTACGAGGCCTATTTTGAATCTGTATTTAGGGGCCAGGTCCCATCTTTGGTGGCCAAGATATCCGAGTTTTTTTGACATATCTCTGGGTCAAAAAGGAGGGTATGTCAAGAAGGAGGTCTTTTCCTGGTCGTTTGGAAGCATGAGGATTTGGTTGTAGCCTGAGAAGGCATCCATGAAGCTCATGAGCTGATGGCCTGCGGTGGCGTCGACGAGCTTGTCGATATGAGGTAGGGGAAAAGGATCCTTGGGGCATGATTTGTTGATCTCGGTGAAATCTATGCAGACCCTCCATTTCCCATTCTTTTTCCTGACCACGACCACGTTGGCCAGCAACTCTGGGTACTGGACTTCTCTTATGAATCCAGCATCGAGCAGGTTCTTGACCTCTTTGTTGATAATTTTGTCCCTTTCGGGGGCAAATTTCCTTATTTTCCGTCGTACAGGGGTGAATTGAGGGTCTACCTGCAGTTTTTGCATGATGACCTCGGAGTCGATCCCGGGCATATCCTTGTGAGACCAGGCGAAACAGTCAGAGCTGGAGCGGAGGAAGTCGATTAATCTTTTCCTTAACTCAGTGGGAAGCTTGGATCCTATCAGCAGTTTCCGGTCCGGGTTTCCTTCCTCCAGGGGTATCTCATCCATCTCTTCTACCTCAGGCTCCTCCGTATGCAGGCCGGAGGATCCTTCGGTAATTGCTATAGGTCCAGGCTCTTCCCTTTCAGAGTAGTTTGATAGCAGGCCCTAGAATTCTCTTGATCTCCTTTGATTACCCTGATGCCCCAGGGGGTCGGGAATTTGATGGATTGATGGAGAGTTAAAGGTACGGCTCCCATGTCGTGTATCCAGCGCCTGTCCAGTATCAAGTTGTAGGATGATGCGCAGTCGACAACGAGGAATTTATGATATGTTGTGTTTTTGACATGTTACACACATGATTTGCATATCATTTTTGTGTTTTACTGGAGTATTCCTAGTGTGTTTTGAGTTATTTCAGGTGGAGAACGAGTTGGAATGCACCAGTTGGAGCATATGGAAGAAAGAATGCAAAAACCAGAGTTTTCCATCGTGGAGCACCCATGCGGAGCAAACCCCGATTTGCTCCCATTCTTTAATGAGACCTCTGATCTATTTTGTGAAAGAGAAAAACGCAGCACTCCTCTCTACCCTAACAGCCGTCGTTCTTCTAATAAAAGCACCCTGGCCGCCTCTTCTCTTTCAGACAGAGAGCATAGACTAGATTTTACACAAGAAACTTGTTGAGACTTTTTGTTGAAGATTTGTTCTAGCTATTTTGTAAAGGGCCAAGGCTTCCTCCTCTTG